GATCCTCAAATACGACAATTGATATTGAGACGTGTAATTTAGAGGAGTTTGGAAAATATGTTAACATTGAAAGGCTAAAATATTTGTGGAGAGGCAAAGGAGATCCACCAGAACACTTCTTAGAATCATATTGGTTGTTTCACGGTAGTAAAGATTTTGGTATAGAACTTGGTAAAAGCTTTTTACGAGGAGTTTCCGGAAGGACGGTAATATTTAACTTTAATATCAAGAACTTAAAATAGGATAGGTTAATCCAATAAATAAGTTTTATTAAATAATTGATTAACAGGCAAAAACAGGAGAAGTTATAAGAGATGGCGTCGGCATGATTCTTGGATTTAAGGATGGTGTTACTGGGTATGAACTTATATTAAATATACAACCTTACAATAATATTTATTAATTTATGGTACTTAATAGTTCATTTTCGAATCTTGTGGATAAACGAATCTCAAAAGACAGAGAAAAGATCACATGTAGTCCTATTAAATCATCATCATTACCAGCAGACTTTTTCGTGCATGATCAAACTTCTTCATCAAAGTATATTAATATTTTGGCAAATTTATTTACATTAAGTTGTATTAGTTGAAAAAAAAAAATATCTAATCATAATGCAATTCTTTAGCGAAATTGGCGCACCTTACGATCAGTCTAAAGTAGCAGCAAGGTCAAGCGAACCGCATATAGAATCAGGTTTTATATTTTATTTTGATGGTTAACTTTAATAAAGAATACTTAAATTTTTTTTTTTCTCTTTAGATTGGACTGATAACGAACATGGTACCGAAACCTATAATTCCATGCATTGTTCTGAAACTGAATTGTCAGAAGGGAATGAACTCAATGAAGCAAGACCAATACCAAGAAGAAGTTATTCTTTGAGTACTTTTGACTTTATTAACGAAACGATGACTGCTCAAGATCTGCCAATGAATGTACTTAGGAGGCACAATTCGTTCACTAACATTGACTTTGCGCGAAAACAAGCTGACGGAATATTGCCTCGGTAATTTATTATATGCAAATTGTTTATATTTCCTTTTATTGTATTATCTCAATTCTCAATTCTTAATCCTTAATTCTTAGACGCACGTTGGATATAGACATCCAAACTTATATGGTTTATGATAGTCTCAAACGAAGGGAAACATCTTTGAAAAGCTTGGTGAAACGTATGGAGGTATTTATCTAAAATTGGTTTCATTTTTAACATGATGACTTTTAAATTAATATTGCATTTATAAGCTTACCGTAACTGAGTATGATAAACACATTGAAGAATTAACAAAATCTTACGAAGAAAGAAGTCAAGATTTTAAGGTATGATAATCTTTAATGAAATATTATATTATTATTTTTTTTTAAAAAAAAATATACATATATATTTATATATATATATATTTCTCATAATTATGTTCTTTAGTTAACAGAAACTGGGGGAATGGAGGTTTTGGCTAAACAAAAAATGGTGTCCAAAGCAATTACCCAAATTGTTGACAATAGTGGAAAATTAAATTATGAATTAAAATTATTAGAGGATAAACTAAAGGAGATCGAAGAATTTGTTGATACATTTTGTTTAAAAGTTAGTAAATTATTATTAATTATAATTCTTTATTGTAAAGATATTAATATTATAATATTAAATTAGGTTCAGATATTGGAATCAAAAATGTCACAACCACGCAGATCAGTCAAGATATTATATAATTTTTGGAAATACTTTCAAGATCAATGGAAAGGAATTAGTGCAAGATTTCATCAAAAACTTAAAGAAGACTAGTTATGTTTTATAGAATATTTTAGAACCATATAATTTAATAGATTTTTCAGTCATGTAATAATAAAACTTTTATTATAATTACTTTTTTCATCTAATATCAATGCTTTTTAACAGGTTGTATTTTTTCATATTCACGTTGTAAAATTAATTGTTTTTCAAATTCCAATTGATTTTGTTGAAATTTGTCTTTCTTAGCCCTTCTCTCTTCATCTCTTATTATTCCCGAATGCATAAACTAAATAAATTAAATTAGTAAAATAAATAAAAACCAACTTTTAAAAGGAAGTTATTTTATACCTCTTTTTCTTTTTTTTGCTGATAGTGTACACCCCAGACAATACCAGAAGAAATAAAGATTGAGGTAATTAAAGTTATTTTAGCTGCTTTAGACATTATTAAATATAAAAAATTTTTTTTTTTTTGTTAATATAAGTATTAGAATTTACTGCGGATCAGTGGATCTGATAAAGCACATAAATTGTCATTATTTAATACAGTAATATGTCCAAGTTTCATATCTCTCTTTAAATGGATAGATACGTCTATCCTTTACAGTAATGTATCAAAGTTTGCGATTATAGATCAAAAGTTTAATTTCTTTCTTTTCTTTTTTTTTATAACATAATAAAGTATGCAGTATACATTGTAGATTCATTTTAAATTCATAGAAGCTTTATTTCCAAAATATTATATAACAAATTCTATAGTAATAAATTCAAAATCACGATTTCCATTTAAAATTATTTTATTGAGATTCAAGTGATTTTATATTTATTTCGCGGATATATCCGCCATCTGATCAGAATCAGAATCCGTCTAGCAAAGATACAATCCATCTCAATTCGTTTACTAGATCGGGAATTTCTAATAATATATAAGGTACCTTAAAATTATAGAATTCACAATTCTATAACTATATAATTAGACTAAAAAGTGTTTATAATATTTTGAATTTAAGGAGAAAATTACTTAAATAATTGATAACCAATCCAATCACAGATCAAGGATGCCTTAATCAGCTACTTCCATTGGTTCAGGAGTAGACGTAGTTGAGTATGGCACATCTTCATTCTCTATAAAAGTCGTTCGTTGCATATTATTGTTCTTCTTTTGTAAAATAATTATCTCGCTTTCCAAAAGCGAAATCCGTTTTTCCGATTTTGTCTAGGTCATTTAAATATAAAATTAATTGTTAAAATTATAAAGATTAATATTATCTATATATTAAATATTAAATTAAAAGCACTTATCTTAAAATAAATGACTATTAAGTAAAGTTAATAAATAAAATTTCTTAAAATCTGTGCCATTTTGTAATTTATGCAATGTTTCAACATAATTGGATCGAATACGGGTAACTGATTATTCTTGACATTTAATCTTACCTTTTCTTTCTCGTGAATCAGCACTTTATCTTTGAGTCTCTTAAAGTGTGAAATATCATCTGCGAGTTTCGTTTCAAGATTCATAACTAAAGAATCACGCTCTGCGAGTCTCTTTTCAGAATCTGCCAATAAAGAATCCCGCTCGGTGAGTTTCTTATCGAGGTTCGCTACCAGAGCATCCCGTTCTGCGAGTTTCGTTTCTAATACACCTATATGAGTCTCGCATTCATTAAGTTCTTTTTCAAGATCATCAACGATTCCCTCGCAGTCAACAAGTTTTTTTTCTAGTTCTTCAGCTAATGTCTCGCAAGTAACACATCTTTCTTTGATAAGCACCGAATACATTTCTAGCTCTAATTCTCGATCCTCTGCACTTTGTAATTCGGTGCTAAGCTTTTCGATCTGTTGTTCGTGCTCTTCTTTTATTTTAACAATAGAAAACTCAGCATTTTTACGTTCTTCCTCACTAAAGATTTATAAGTTAGTTGAGATATAAATGATCTTTAATTTATATTACAAAGCATACCTTTGTTCAAAAGCCTTTCGTAATTCTTCGACTTCTTTTTCTAAATTACAAATTTTTTCCATTTCACTATTAACAGTATCCTGTGCCTCTTTTCTAAGTTTTGCATTCTCGAACTGTGATAAATAAGAATATTTGTAAATCAGAATACTTTCGCTATTAAATAAATGATATTATAGTACAACCTTAAGTAATTTTAATTCTTTTTTAAGTTGTTCGTTCTCCACGTTGAGTTTACTATCATTTTTTGCTTGTTGTTGTTGAAGTCCCCTACAGTGTTTTTCTTTTTCATTCTTTTTTTTTTAAAAAAAAAGGGTTAAAGAAATCAAGTCAATCAAAAAAAGAAAAAAGTATTTAAAGCATTAATTATATTACCATAAGTGTCCTAAGCTGTTTATCTTCGGCAACAAGTTTATTGTTCTTATCCTTTAACTGCCGAGCTTGTTCATGTAACGTATCATGTTGTGACTGTAATAAAATTAATTGAATTTCGTAAGTATGATTTTATTTTATAATTAAGAAAAATATAAATGAATACCAACCCGAAGTGACTCTACTTTCCTTGTAAGTTTACATTTTTCGTCAGTGAGTTTCGCATTCTCTGCTTTTACAGTGTGAAGTTCCTGTTGTACTCCTATCAGAATTTCCTTATTCTGCCGACCCGATTCTCGCGTTTGCTGTGAAAGCGTCGTACACGCTTCAAGCAGAACATTGTTCTGCGTAGTGAGATTACTTATTTTATCATCTTTCTCTTTAATGTTTTCCTGCAATTTATCGATAGCTAAAAAAGAATTATTAAGATTAAATACAATAATTTAACAGATTAAATTAAACTGACTTGACCGTAAATATTAACTAACCTTTATCTTTTGAATTTATGACGGCAAGAATTTCATCAACGGTAATTATTCGACATTTAACTTGAGAAACGTTTTTCGAAAATTTTTCCAAAGCGCTCGAAGGTTTTGGTGCTTCTTCCACATTCTGACTTATGTCAGAGTCAGTAAATATGTGATTATTCTCTTGAGCCATTTTGTGATAACTAGATATTTGTTGAATTTCGAATTTTTTATTTTTTTTTTTTTCGTTATCCGAGGAACGAAAAATTTTGATCAATGAATTAAGATAATCGCTAAAAATATAAATTCGAGTCACGAGAGTGATTTTAATATCTTGTTACAAAGTGATAATTGGGTGTTAACGCATCACATTTTTTTTTCACGAAAAATTTTTTGTACCCTTTAAAAAAGAAACAGATCAATCGTGGCAATTTCTTTAAGCTGTAAGAAAAAATTTACAAAAAAAGATGTCCCAGACTCAGTTTGTTCTAAATTCACCTCCACCATCGTGGATTGAGGGTGAACAATTCCGAATTCATTGTGGGATTTCGGGTATTTAAAACATTTTTTTTTAAAAAAAAAAGCTAAATTTTGTAACTTTCAATAATTACAAGGTTATTTCTTCATTTTTTTTTGTTTCTCAGGTGGTTTTATGCGTAAGATTGAGCCTATTGGTAATCAATTCCTTGCGCATGCTCGCCGAAAGTTGAATAACCATTCTTTTTCCGAGGACGATCGTATTCAGGCAGAATCTGCGGTAGAACAAGCTGAGGAAGTTCTTTCAGATGATTCGGAAGAAGAGACTCCCGATTTGTTAAATAGAGATCCAAAAGATTGGAAGGTATTTCTTGAATGATAATTGATCAACATGGATCAATTTATCATTGATAATTTTTCTTTATCTGATGTCCATGCTTTTGTTAATTCCATTCAAGCACCATTTTTAAGAGCTGTGATATATGTATCTTAATACCAGGAACAAGACCATTATGCAGTATTAGGACTCTCTAAATATAGGTGGATAGCTACCGATGAACAAATCAAACATGCACGTACGTGTCAAATTACACTCAAGAATCCATGTGTTTGTATTAAATCCATATGTCTTATTCAATTTTAAAAATTCACTTTGTTTAGATCGGAAGAAAGTTTTGAAGCATCACCCGGACAAAAAAGCTTCTAGTGGGAATACAAATGATGACGCTTTCTTCAAATGCATACAAAAAGGTCTGTCGTTGTAGCTATAATTTATGTCCCTATGATCTTGATAATGACCATATTACTTATCTATTAATATGCGCTTTATTAAACAGCCCATGAAGTTCTTTCCGATTCTGTTAAACGTCGTCAATTTGATTCAGTGGATGAAGCCATCGATGATACTCCACCAAGTATAAAAGCTAAGGGTGACTTTTTTGAGCTATACGGTCCTGTGTTTGAGCGAGAAGCGAGGTGGGCTTGGATTGTATGGGTGGAGTATTGGACATGATTCAGATCGTTGATAAATTTGCTTATCCTTTTATTATTCGATTTTAGATTTTCGAATAAAACTCCGGTTCCTATGCTGGGCGATATAAATACACCCAAATCAGAAGTTGAAACATTTTATGATTTCTGGTAACATAGACAAAATATTAATTTTAATTATGTGTCCTTTGTGAAGGTTTCTTTATATGTTATTTTATATAGGTACAATTTTGATTCCTGGCGTTCTTTTGAATACCTTGACAAAGAAGATACAGATAGTACAGACAAGTAGGTTATCCATTCATTCGACGTTATGTTTCTTTCCTTTTATACACATATATCTATCCTTTTCTCATTCTTGGTTAATTTAAAGCCGCGATGATAAACGGTATATCGAAAAAAAAAATAAAGCTGAAAGAGCAAAACGCAAAAAGGAAGATAATATCCGATTGAGAAAAATTATTGGTAAATTATCAATTAATTACATTGCATTTCATATTTTATTTCAAGGTTTGAATAATCATCATCTAATTTTTTACTTCCTTGTGAATCAAGATCAGACACTTTCTTTAGACCCACGCATTATCAAATTTAAACAAGAGGAGAAAGCTGCAAGAGACGCTAAGAAAAAGGAGAAAGAAGAGGCAGCTAAAAGAGCTGGGGAAGCGGCAAGAAAGGTATTGTTGACAAGTGCAAATACATTGTTTATACCTCATATACACAAGTTGCATATGATATGGATAAACATTGTTAGCCACTAGTTGGGAATTTCATAGCAATGCAAAGTCCCATACTTAGGAGAGGAATATTTAGTGGATGGAATATAGAAGATCCATTATCCAACATAAATTCTTCCAATTAATATTTTATTTCTAAAGGCCGCAGAGGAAGAAAAACAAAAGAAAGAGATTGCTGAGGCTGAAGCGAAACAGAAGGTGTTGTTAAATTTCTATTTCATTAAAATGTTTATTAGAATAAATATGAATTAATATCTTTCCTTTAATTATATAGCAAGCTGAGGAAAAGAAGGAAAAGACAGTGAAGAAGAAAGCAGTTCGCAATGAAAGAAAAAATATAAAAACGCACGTCAAAGTTTGTTTCATCTCAAAATTTATGACATGCTATTAAATTTTCTTTCTTAAAAGTAACTTAATTAATAACGTATATACATAAATTATTCTTTTATATAACGATAAGAATTATAATTATTTTTATCCGGACAATCAAACACCGCCAGTGGATATCATTGATATTCAATTATCAGAACTGGATTCGTTATTTGAAAATCTTTCTTTGGAAGACTTACAAAACGTTAGAAAGCAGTTGGATTCCGCTGAAGATCGTTATATTGCCAAAAATATTCTAGCTAATGAAGCTAAAAGACTCGTTAGCGCGGGAGTTTTGTCAGCCGATTCAATTAAACATTTCAGCCCGGGTATATATATATAAAAATAAATATAATGAACTTTATTAAAATATTTTTCAAATTTCAAATTTCAACTGATAAATTATAAATTTTCCAATTAGATATCAATGAAGTAGTCGTTAAAGAAGTTACCCCGGTTGAAAAACCTGTTGCAAAAGAAGAGCCTAAGGAACGACCATGGAGTGTAGAAGAAATATCATTGCTAGTTAAGGCTGCAAATAAGTTTCCTGGAGGTACTGTGAATAGGTATGCTTCAATTTATTTCATAACTTTCCAAACGTTTTGTTAACCTTCAAGCATGCAAATTTGTCAAGGTGGGAGAAGATAAGTGATCACGTTGCGTATCACACAAGTTTACCACCCAGACCTAATGATGAATTGATTAAAAAGTCGAAAGACGTCCAGAAAGGTATGAAACGAATATATTGATCGATATTTATTAATAGAGGAGTAACTAATGAACTATTATGGTCGGCAGGTGCAAACGCGTTAGAAGAAGATGTACGTCAATTACAGCATCAAAAAAAACATACCGATGTGCGTATTACGGATCATCCTTCAATGCGCGAAGCAACTATTAATTATGATGAGCCAGTGACAACGTCTGTTGAACCACGGAATAAATCAAAGTCTACACAAAAAGCGGGTAAAAATAAGGCGAAAAAAGCCACTAGCGCACAACAACCAATAGCATCAACCTCAGAAAGTGCCGAGATAAAAGAAACTTCTACGAAGGCAGCGACTACAATTTCAAAAGAAAAGTCCGAAACGAAAGCTTCAGCGAACGGAATAAAGTCTACCTCGGACGTCACCACGTCCCCTTCATCACAGTCAGCCGCTAGTTGGACGGCAGTCCAACAAAGCCAATTGGAACGAGCTTTACAGACCTACCCACCAACCTGGAAGGGTGATGGAGATAGATGGGACAAGATTGCTGCAGCAGTCGAAGAAAAAACAAAAAAGGAATGCAAACTTAGAGTTAAGGTGAAATGAAGGATTTAATAACGAATTTTGATTTATGTTATTAATTAATGAATGAACCCTTAAATACTAATTTTTAATTTTTCAACCTTTAAAGTATTTGTCCGAGCAGGTCAAAGCCAAAAAAGCTGCAATGGATAAGTAATAATTTATTAAATAAAACCGATCGTTCGAATTATGTAATATTTTTTTTTAATTTGGACCAAAAAAGCGCGTTAATAATAATTCAGAAAAAGGAATTAGAATTTTAAAACATGTGTTTAAGGTTTTCTTATGATTGCATTAATTTTTTAGCAGAAAATATATTTCTAAATCATGCGTAAACATATAGATGGATAAATTTTGATTTTATTGTGACTGAATAATAAACAATCTTGGCTTTATTATTATTAATAATTAAAAATGAATGTCAATTTGAAACATTATAATCTACATTTTACATTAATTACATAATTTACATTACCACTTTACCGGAAGATTAGCTCTGTTTGCCATCACTAACTTATGTAATTGTTCCTTTTTTTGTAAAGCAGTTGAACTCCCATTAATTACAGCTAAAATTTCATTAGCCAACCTAATACTAAAAACTTTACCGGATCTTTTGTCAGAAGCATCTAGAATCCATTTAATACCTTTATGTTGTCTTTGACGTTCATTTAATGGTCTAGGAATCAAAGTTACTTTTGAACCTTTCTTAGAACTCATATGACTGACCATTGGAGAAGCTTTTTCAATGGCAGATTTGGTAATTAAATAAGGATCATTGTGAGTCTGTTTGCGAATTTCAATCATGGCATCGGCAACAAATCGTCTTGCGGTAGCTTTTTTACCATCACGCATAATCATATTTGTTAAAAGTGAAATTACAGGATCCTCTCTCACGAATCGGGATTCATCATTTACCATGATGGTTGTTTCTGTGTTTGATTCAGACGAAAGCGTTGGTGTCACTTCAGAAGTATCGATAATGGTTTCAGACGTGGAATTTAATATTTCTGTCGCTGGTGATTTTAACGAATTTAGAATGGAAGTTTTAGGGGAAATTTCCGAGAAATGTGACGGTGTCAAAACGGGCTTGGTTTCACTTGATTTCAATTGTGATAACGTTTCTTTAAAAATTGATAATGAATCTTTATTATTTGAAGAAGGTTTATTTAAATCATTAAAAATTTCATCGAAAGGATCATTTTGCTTTTTGGAATCGTTAGTAAATAATTTTTCTTCATTCTGGTTATCGTCGGTTTCGTTGCTCTCTTTGTCGTTGTGGGTAATCGAATTTTGAAAAGAACGGTGAAACGAATTTATCGGTGAAATCGATGAAAATCTTTTGGTTCTTGTTACAAATGTGAAGAAGGGACGCGCCGAAATGATTGATAAAGAATTCATTATGAATAAATTGAATAAATTGCGATATTGAGATTGATGAAAAATTTTCAAGATAACGGTTGAAAAAAGATCTCGTGTAACGGGGAATCCATCATCAAAATTCAAAAAAAATTTTTTTTTTTTTTTTTTTTTTTACCTTATCTTACAGTACTAATATAAGAATGACATTCCTTATAACTCGACAATTCAAACATTTAAAACAAATTATTTCAATTCCCACTACTACATTATATTTCCTACCATCAACTCACATCTTTCTTCGTAGATACACGGCAAGAAAACCCACGAAACTCAGTAATTCCTCGGCACCAATTTACGCTCGAAGGGAATTAGAAGATGGTAGTTTATTCATATCTCGAGTACCATTATCCCCACAAAAAATATCTTATGATGATTTACCACCACCATTAAAACCAATTAAAGAGAAATCATATCATTTAACTCAAGAACAAGTAAAGGAAATACAACAACTACGTGAACAAAATCCTGTTAAATGGTCTAGAAAAAAATTGGCAGAAAAATTTGAATGTAGTCAACTTTATATAGGTATTATTGCTCCCGTATCTAAAGAAAGGAGAGCTCAATTAGAAGAGGAAAAGAATGCGGAAATTGAAGAGATGGGATGGAAAAAGAGATTTATTAGGAAAGAGAGGGTCAGAAGGAGAGAAATATGGTGAAATTTTATGGAAACGCGTATTATTTTGATTTGTTACACGCGATCCGATCAATATGCTTTTATTATATTAATTAAATTTTGTAAAAAAAAAAAAAAAAAAAAATTAAATAAATAAAATAATTTTCTAAATTAAATCGTTTATAAAGCCTCTTCAATTTCTTGTCTGGATAAACTGGAAACCTTTAATTTACTTCTATAATCATCCCAATTTAAATAAGCACCAATTAATCTTCTATGACCGGTAAATTCCGCTCTACCATGTAATACTCTCCAATTATCAAAAATCATTACCCTACCGGGTCCCAATTGTACCCAATATTCATTTTCTTTATCAACTAAAATTTTATTCCATTTTCTTAATGAATCGTAAAATGATTCAATTTCCTCGGATGTTAATTGATTTAAAGTTGACCTATCATCATTATTATAACGAATTTGATAAAGTTCATTTGTTAAAGGATTATGATTTAAGATAGGATAAGCTAATGGTGTTGGCTGAATTAATACGTTGGAATCTCCTGCGGAATGTGTTGGGATGCGAATCGTGGATAACACTTTGTATGCTTCCGGATATTTCATTTTTAATTTACGAGCTATTGAGAATCCGTCAATTAATAATGACGACCCTCCTTTACCTTGGAACTCGATTAAATGAAACATCTGCAATCTGTAAAGAAAATCTTTAGGGAAAAGACCTTTTCAAAGTAATAATAATATTATTAATAATAAAATTATCTTATTGACGTACCCGGATGGATCAGTAAAGTAAGTGTTATCAGTATGAGCTTTTAACGCAAATGTAGTATATGCTGTATCTCCATGAGCTAAATTTGATGTGAAATCCCAAAATTTACCTATAATAAAATTAATTAATATTTTTTTTTTTTTTTAAAAAAAAAAAAAAATAATAATAACAATAATAATATTCTTTGATTGTTAAATTACCATAATGAGATTCTCTTATATAACAAATTCTTTCTGCTAATTCTTCAGTTTCCTTAACTTTAGGTGGTACTCCATCGACAAAACAAAATCCATACTTATCCTATCAAACGAAATCAATATTAGACCGAATAAAAACAAGCGTATTTGTCAAATGGATAAAATCTTACGATTTTCTTCAACCATTCTGATAGTCCTGCTTGAGTTTGCATCACCTAAATTTATTAATTATTTCAGCTACAACGAAAAACTATTTCACATGACTTGAATATTATTTACTTACATCTTCGTATTGCACAATCGGTGGGCAATCTTTAATTCTTGCATCCCACAATGCTTTTCTTTTTATTTTTTTTAAAAAAAAAAAAAATTATTATATTATATATTATTATTAAAAGATCAATCAATAATTTTAAATTTACTTTTGTAAGAATGGTTGAACATCGATAAATTGCGGATCATAGGAATGTCGTCTCAACCAACTCCAATTAAAAAAACTGACGTGATTATCATTCCCTATAAATAAATATTCATTTTTTTAGATTGGAATAATAAACACTTAAAATGTATAGCATAGCATACATACATGTGATCTCTATTCCATTTAATCCTGGGGACGTAGATAACGGTCTAATGTCCTCTGGTATCTATTATTAGGATATACTTTACTAATCAGTTATCTAATCCTTAAAAGATTAATCAATCAATTTATTGGATCATTTTACTTTGAATGTGTCCACAAGACGTTGTTTCGTAATATGATGATAACATTGTTCACATCTACAATGATCTCTTAACCAAATATTATGACTATTAAAAGAAATTTTTTTCTTTAATAAAAATTCCCAATAAAAGTTTCATCTTTTTTTTTTTTTCGGGAAAAAATCAATTTACAATTTACTTGTCTGGTTGTCTTGCCAATTTATTAACAATTTTGGGGATTCTATCGATACTGTAATAGGTTTTGAAGGAATGGTAACTTCAGGATCTGGTGACTATTTTACATATGTGCAAATATTTTTATTAATCAATTATTAAAAATAAATGATGACTAATAAGCTGACATACCTCTGTAAAATTCCTTTTGCGAACATTAACCAATAGTCTACGTTTCTCATTAAAGTTCATTTTACTCGAAGAAATTCCAAGACCAACATTATTATTCCTTCCTAGATAATTAAAACTACGAAATAGAACATTCCTTATGACATTTCTGCTTGATAATAACTTATTACTAGAATTAATGCTAATGTTGGTATTAGTATATACTCGAGGAAAGGCACGAAACATTATTAGATATACGTAGTTTTTGAAGAGGAGATTTTTTTTTTTTTTTAAAAAAAAAAAAATCGGGACTAATATATTTTTTTCCAAATTAGGAGACCATTTTAATTTGTGACACTGAAAATCAATCTATTTTTCCGAGAACGAAGCAACCTAAATAGAATTATTAAAGCAGACTCCATGTCGCTAATTGTTCAATTAAGAACATAAATTTTGAGGTTATTTAAATTAAGATTACGATAACTTAAATTTTGCAAACGATCCATATTCTGTAGATGATAATATTATCGTGCAATAAAGATTAATTATTAAAAAAAATTTTTTTTAATATATTTACTTTTCAACATTGATGATCCTAGAAATATATCTCGATTTACCTTGTTTGAAGAATTCTGAATGAACTTTTCTGTTAAATGTTGATATGTTTGAAAGTTAAAGTTTTGTATTTTTTTATTAAGAATATCATTGACTTGTTATTTTGATGGCAAGTTCCTAATCACCAATTAAAGAATACGCAATAACATTTATTTAATTTTTCTGGCAGTTTCTTACCATTCTTAGAAAGGGCCCATTAATTAATTACGATGGTGAAAGTCTTTTTAACGAAGCACAGAGTTTTGACTTTTGCTAAAATGAGTTTTGCCAGGCAATTATAATCCAAATACATCATGTGACAAATATTTATAATTGTGATATGAATAAAGGACATTTTACATTTACTTCTTTCGAATTCATCAATATCACCTTTAAAATCAATGATATCATATTGGGCTTCGTCACCAATTTACTTGGTAATTTATTATGTTTGATGGTGCGTTTCTATTAATGAAGCCCGCATATAACTAAATGCGTATAATTCTTTATTAGCAACTTCATACTAGAGCTACAGAGGCTCAACTTTTACCAGGCAAAAAGAATTTGCCTATGTTAACCATTTTTTTTTTTTCAAAAGCGCGTTTTTTCGAGTTTTATTTCTTTAATAATTAATTAGAGCTTTAAACGGACAAATCATGGCTAGTAAATAATTAAAACTGCACCTCTTTATAATTCTTATTAACTTTATATTTGAAATTCAATTAAGCAAGCATGAAACCACCAATTTTTCTAGTATTATCATCAGCCAAAAATCACAAATTAAAGGAAATTGTTGCCCAATATGACATATAACTCGTTATCATATCGAGTCCTTGTTAAGATTAGTCTTGTTTGACAGTCAACTTTATTAATTCAGTCTTTATAAATGGATTCTTTTATCGCGAATAGTAGTACAACGTAGCATTGGCCTGATAAAGGATCATAGTATTACTTGAAAAGAAGAAAAAGATCATCATTTCTCAATATTCTTGTTTTATTACGCCAAATGTTGATAAATCTCAATTAATAAATATGGTAATATATAATAAATTAGGTAAAGATTAGATTCCTGTGATCACAACAGTTACATTAAATTCTTTAATAGGTTTAAAAAAATCTCTTGGCATTTCGCTTATATAATTGTCCAATTTTGTTGTATGTTTTTTTTTTATCCTTATTTTTTTCCAAATCCTTTAAAGGTATGAATGAGGGAGAATATTACAAGACTTTGTCAATAGATTTCAATAAATTATTAACGACATGTGAAGATTATAATGTTATAATCGGAGTTGGCAATGATGTTGATTACATGAAATTTCATGCGCACAGTTGTATATTAAGGGCAAGATCCCCATATTTTTATTCTGCATTATCAAAAGAATGGGTAAAACGAAATGAAGAAGGTTTAATCATATTTGAAAAACCGAATATTCATCCCAAAATATTTCAATGTATCTTGAAATATATTTATGGTGGAATGATAGACTTGAATGATTATGAACCAATGTTTATATTAGATTTAATAATAGCATCGGATGAATTATTATTAACAGAGTTATGTAAATTTTCACAAGATTTCTTAATGAGAGTTCAGGATAAATGGATAAGAGAAAATCCGATTAAAATATTAACTCATTCAACAGCATTTCATTTGGAGAGTTGTAAGGAATTAATCGATTATTGTTTAGAAATTATTTGTGATAATCCTTCTTTGATATTCGAAATTCAGAATTATGCAAAGATTATTAATGAGCAAATATTAATTGAAATATTAAAAAGGGATGATTTACAATTAGACGAGATGTCACTATGGAAACATATCATTAATTGGGGAATTGAACAAATTAATAAATCAAGAATTTCGAATTATGAGAAAAGGTTAATGATTCAAGATGGTTCGAAATGGGTTGAAGAAGATTTGATAGAATTAGAAATCATACTTAAAAATTGTGTTCCTTTAATTAGGATTGATTTAATTTCTTGTAAGGAGTTACCAATTGAATTGCAACCATTTCAACGTATGCTCACGAAGAATGACTCTTTTATTGACGATAATTCAAGTGATTTGTATTCGGATGAGAATTTGATGTGCAAAAGTTTGCTTTTAAGTCACAGGATGCCATCAATTTATCCAATAGATTCCACGATCATTAAGTGGAGACACGCAGCAATAATATCTAAATGGATAGATCGACAAGACGCTTTATATCGTAAAGCGTCACATACCTTTCGTTTGCTGTTGAGAGGAACAAGAGACGGATTCACATCACAAACGTTTCATGAATTATGTGATAATATAGGAGCGACCATTGTTGTAATGAAGGTTGTCAATACCAAACAAATTATCGGTGGGTATAATCCCGTTGGATGGAAGGGTGGATTTTTTGGTACGTGGATTAAAACGGCAGATAGTTTTATATTTAGTTTTGGTGATGGTAAGAATTTGAATCAAGCCGTATTGAGTAGAATACGTAAAGATCATGATGGTATGGCATTATTTTGCGCTGACGTGCGTGGTCCTTCTTTTGGTTGTCACGATTTATGGATGCCCAATTTTAATAATTTATCTTTAAGATGTACGAGCAAAAGTTCTTATTATGAAAAAACAATTATTGATACAAGAAAATTTGATGTTGAGGAATATGAAGTATTTCAAGTCATTGATAAAAAAAGGTTAATTAACGCGGAGAAATTTACTTGATCTTTATCAT